TATATTAATCCCTTTACACAAACTATGTATACATGAACACACTACCATACGTGTCTGGAACCATTCGAGGCATAGTGCTTTGTGAGGCTAAAGCGGTGCTTGATTGCGTAGATACCACGGGAAGGAGAAACTGACTTCTCATGTCGGCGTCGGATCTTCACCTTCCATTCGTGGAAGAACATCTCCACTTGTGAGATGTAATCTGGGACGTGCTGTTAGGAGATACCTTTAAGAGGAACATTCCTTCAAGTCGCCGGATCTTTGGTACGGATCTCACCGTGCCGGCGGGGAAGGAAACACTTCTTACCTTGTCGGGATGAGTCAATGCCATTTGCAGTGTGTCCAAACGGTTACTTACAAAATAAATCCAAAAATTTTGTGGCGAGTGGCATTTATTTTATTTAATTTTTTCCTAAGTTTTTTTTTCAGCCGACAAACGGTTATCATCCCGATGGGACGCATATTTGCCCACACACTAGACACCAACACACTTGCGGACTCCTATGATCTGAGGTCAGCAGAACGCGAGGCCCTTTGCGACAACACATATATGAAAGGCAAGGTACAATCATGCTAAAAGCGTGACTCTAACCCGCAACCCTCCGGAATGCAGAGCTGAGTCGGTACACGGCCTTAACAATTTCGTCCATCCAGCTCGGATTTCCTTATTTATTAATCAATAAATATTGCAACTTAATGTCGGTGCAATTTAAAACAAATAGCATTTAATATAAAATAATTTAGAGGAAAAGTATGTGTATAAGACATTGTTATTCAAGGTTCGATCGAAGTTCAACCCACACCCGCAAACACTCTCTGCTCTCTCGGAGGCGTTGTGAACGCCCATCCCCGTGCCCGTGAGTATCCAAACGGTTACTTAGAAAATAAATCCAAAAAATATTGTCGTGAGTGGAATTTTCTATATTTATTAACAATAATGGGTTTGAAAAATACTGTATTTTAATGAATTGAACATTTAATATGAAATTGTTAGTGGTTTGAAAAGTAAGTAAAAAATAATGCATTTTAATGTCGGTCCAATTCAAAACCAATAAGATCGAATATAAAAAAAATTAAAAGTGAAAGTACGAGTATACGACATTCCATCACTGAAAGTACGATCAAAGATCTACGAAATATAAACAATATTCACACTGTACGATGTATTTTGATAAAATTATTTAGGAGTCATTTAGATAAAATACTTAGATCAAATAGGTCTTCAAGTTGGACCAAGAGTACTAGCAAGATAAGTCGAGAGAAGAGGTTTTTACTATTAAAGAGAGACCAAGAGATCAAGAGTACCAATGAAAGTATAATCGCACAGAGTTAATGCCAATCTACGAATAATATAGATAAAATATTCAGATTAAATGTAAGGGACTTTTTATCAGGTAGGTTTATAGGTCTAGTGACCTAAGAGGTGGAGCAAGAGAATACTGCCGAGGCATGACAGAGAAGGAGAAGGATTTTTGTCGCCGAATTTTATTTTAGAATAACTATTCTTTAAAAATATAAACTTGAACAACTTTATCTTCATATTTTTATCATAATGGTATTGTATCTTATTTAACTCCTTTGGATAACGAAACATTTTCAAACACATGGTTACGCCATACTGGTTTCTCACATTGAATTGAAAAAATATTTAATTCTCTCACTTTATTTATTTAAAAATTAGCACTGATTTCTGATCAAGATATTTTATCTGGTTAAATTAACTTTGTTTTCACTGTGGTTTTTTCATGCTCTGACGTATGTCCGCTAACTTCCACCATTAACTCCACGACCGTGAGAAAGAACTTCTATTGCTCCGCATTACCACGCGAATCTTTGCCCTAACAGAAATCACGTGCGATTCTCTCACCACCAGCTGAAATAGGGGGGGGATGGGGAGGGGTCTGGCCCTCGACGTCAGCCGGTGGCTCGCACGCGTGCCCAGATGCCCCAACCCCCGCGGCGCGCTGCTCTCGCCCCTGCCTCCTGCGTATTACGCTTCCCCCAGGGGAGGAACAGAGGTGGTGGAAATATTTCAATTTCCGCAAATTTTAGCAACACCAACCTCTATTATGTCCCAAGTGGTTGATGTGACCTTAAATAAAAATTACCTATTCCCATCTGGTTGGTTGAGATGGCCAAGATCTTGAACCGATTCAATGCTTTGGTCCAAAGGGTCGCGAGTTCGAGTACCGATTTGGGCATGGTTGTTTTGTCCCTTGTCTGCCATGTATGTGGTGCCGCTGAGTGTCTCGCATTCTGTAGATTAGAGGAGCCAGCATATGTGTTGAAGTCTAGTATATGGTGGAATATGCGTTTCATCGGGACGTGGAGGGTAATTGGCTGTCGGCTGGATAAACACCCTCGAAAGAAGATTCATCTATTTATAATGTCTTCGATTCTTGCACGTCTTCGTGGAATGATGAAACATATCTGTAATGTGTGTGCAAGAACAAAGATGTAAGAAAAACAATATCTTCATGCAATATTATTTCCGAAAATGTAATACATAATGACCAAGACATCATTTACCCCAAGTTCGCAGGTTAAAATCCAGCGGTGCCGCGATTGTGATGTTACGCTCGTGAATGTAAAATAATGGAGGTTAAATGACCAACAAAATTAAATTTTTGTGTGATTATGTTCGCAATATTTCAACAAAACGATTTCGAAAAGATCAAATCTTCGCGATTTCCAGTTTCCGAAAATCGATCATACGATTTTATCTCTGGATTTGAAGAATTCGATTGTCTGATTTGTGATTTTCAATAGACAGTCAGCAGCAACTAAAAGGAAATGTTTGGTTTGAGTATCTTTTAGTCACGAAATTTATTTTTACCAATCTGGAGAGAGCTTTCCTTTCACAACTATAAATCACAATCGCATAAATAAGAGTGCCACAAGTGATGTATAATAGCAACATAATATCACTATACAAATATTTTGCAAGTGCATTCTACAAACTAGAATTAATTCCACACATAATTAATAGACTACTTTGTGAAGATTCACCTCACAAAGCCCCATCTGAATTAAATGTACGGTAATAAACACATGTTTTAGATATTGGATTTATTGTCATTATAATCAATGCTAGAAACACACAAAATTAATTTTAGCACTGGTGGCAAGAGTTGACTAATTTACAACACACTAATTGCAAGGGTGATCATCTCGAACTACTACTGTTGGTTAGTTTTGACGATAATAAATAAAATAAAATAAAATTTCCGTCAGTTGTGTAGCGACAGAAAGGCACAAATTTGTGCAACACTATGCCTCGTCTCCTCCGTAGAACTTAGAGTAGAGCAATGATTACTCTCCCCGCCCCCGCGCTCCAGACGCACCCCGCGTGCGAGCTCCCCGCGCCACAGCGCCCTCTGTCCGCGCTCGCCGCCGGTGGGATTCGGTTACACGCGTCACTCCCCGGCCGCGGGGAGCTCCAGATGCGGAAGCGAAGCGCACGGCGGGGGCGAGGGCGGAGGCGGGCCCGAGGGCGCGGGCGGAGGAGAGGGACGGCTGGAGTAGAGGGTGGGGGTGGGAAAGTGGGCGGTGGCAGAGGCGATGAAGACTCCAGTTCGGAGAGGGCGGGAGTGGTGGTAGAGGTGGGGACGGAAAAGGGGCGAAAGCGAGGGCGAGGAGTAGAGTGGAGACGTCGGTAATGGTAGCGTATGGGTGGAAATGGAGGCAAACGTTGAGATGGAAGTAAGGGTGGAGATAGAGGTGGAGGGGAGACAGAGATGGGGGGGAGGTAGAAGCGAAGTTGGAGAAAGAAACGGAGACGAAGATTAAGGTAGGAATGGAGATAAAAGTAGGGGTGGATGATGAATGTGAGGGTGGAGCTAGAAGTGAGGGTGGAGCTAGAAGTGAGGGTGGAGCTAGAAGTGAAGGTGGAGATAGAAGTAAGGGTGGAGGTAGGAGTAAGGTTGGAGCTAGAGGTGAGAGTGGAGATAAGTGAGGGTGAAGACACAAGTGCGGGTGGAGATACAAGTGAGAATGGAGATACAAGTGAGGGTGGAGACACAAGTGAGGGTGGAGTTAAAAGTGAGGGTAGAGATAAAAGTGAGGGTAGAGATAAAAGTGAGGGTAGAAATAAAAGTGAGGGTAGAGATGGTGAGGGTGGAGATAGAGGTAGGGGTTGAGGTAGCAGTGGGCGGGTGGGAACAGAGACGATGGTATAGAGAGAGAGGCGAGGGTGGAGATAGACGCAGGCCTGGAGCGAAAATCGCGGCAGGAAAAGCGGCAGGGCCAGTGTCGAAGTTGGGCTCCTGGGGTAGGACGGGGATCGAAGCGTGACAGTTTGAGGTGGAGGTGCAAGTGGAGCGGGTTGGCAAAAAGACATTTCGTGGTTACCAACGCCGGTGCGCGGCTTTGGCGAGTGGTCAGGAAGGTGGTGCGGAATTGGCTCCGTAGCCGGAGGTGGCAACACAGGGAAGGCGAGTGTGGGGTCAGATTCGCTGTCGGGCGGGGAGAGTGTAGAGTTCATTCACGACTGAGTGAATTGTCCGACGGAAGAAGGTAATCCAAAGAAGCTATTGAAAAAGTCTTATAGTACTGGGTTGCCAAATTTCCTGTCGCGAGGAGCTCTAAACTGGATGATTATTTTAGAGATATTCTTGCCCCATTTCACTTGCAGAAGGTATGTTCTATTGCTGTGAAATAAATGATAAACTAGATGTGTAATCCTAAATACATGAAATTGGGATAAGTTAATGTATGAGGTTGCTTGAGTAATTAGTTGATAAAATTTCCAATGTAAATGATTTAATTATAATCTGTAGGATATTATTGTTATATTCCCTCTCAACTCCGGTCCGGTATAACTGCATAATTTTAGATAACAGTTGTAAGGAAATTGTATTGGTTTTATGCAAAAGTGTGATATATTTCCTGTAATGGCCACTGAATAATCCAGAAACTGAGGAACGGGATCTTGATCGTTAACAATGCCGAACACAGCACACAAGCCCTCAGAGCTAACTCATGCGAATGTACTGCTCAGATAGTTGCACAAGGCGAACAACCCCAGAAAAACATTCAAATTAAGCCAGCGTTTCTACAAATGTAAGAAGGTTACCGGATTATGACAAATAATTCAAGAATTTGGTGAGAGCAATAGTCTGATTGAGAAGAACTTGTTCAAATGAATTGCTAAGTGTATCATGTGGATATTAAACGTCAATGGGTAATATTTCTGCTATGCTTCTCCAAGAGATAAGGGATTCTCACCTTGTAGTACGTAAGCGTGTTATATACGGTAAGTATACAATGCACTGTAAGAATTTCTGAAGTATCCCTAACTCCACTAATATTCCCAATGTTAAATATGAATAAACTGTTTGCACTGTTACGAAGCTACAATCGGAATTTTTTCTGCACAATTACATTACTAATAGTCAAGGTAACATTTTTCTCCTCAATTGCTTTTCACTCTTATGTATAAGTATTTTAATATACTTTTTGAATACTTCATCTTCAGAAACAATACGGGTATTAATTTTCACTTTTACAAGTTTTCGAATAACTGAATATTCTGTATGCGAACAGGAGTGGGGT